GAAAAGGTGGCGGAACTCAAACCTGGCCACGCCCTCATCAAACCCTAGGACCGCCCCTTTAGAGAACAGGAATGCAAGTAAAATTTGGGAGGGGCTATTTCCGGTGTGGGAGGGGCTATTTCCGGTGCGGCCGGCCCGGAAAAAGGTGCCGGAACGCGGTTCCGCCGCGTTCCGGCTGAAAAAAAGCCCTGGTCTTATCCATGTTTTCAGTTTCATACCTATGCTGATTTTTAGGCATGAAATACATCTTACAATTTCTCTTCAGGTTAGCCACATGTGGTACAATACAGACTAGGACTTCATGGCGACCGAGACCTTAAATTGTTTGTGATTTGATGGTGATCTATCCTTCTTACTCTTCTTCTTGCAATGTTGTTCTCCTTTCTTACACAGGCCCTCTAAATGCCACTGGAAGTTTAACTCTACCAGCAGCCTTTGATGTGGTTTGCTCTGGGACAAGTACATTTAAATAAAAGTGCAAAAGAGCCATTTCCAGTTGTGGTTGGTTTTCTGTTATCATGAAATTGACTTCAAGACATATCATCTATCTAATTAGAGAAGTTAGCTGATTTTGGACTTCGTTTCCAGAGCTTCTAAGGCAGTGGTGGCGAACCTATGGCACGAGTGCCAGAGGCGGCACTCGGAGCCCTCTATGTGGGCATGCACGCCCTCACCCCAGCCCCGCCTCTCCCCAAAGCCCCCTCCAAACCAGCAGCCCCCTGGAGAAGAGTCACCCCCGGGTGTAGCCTGCGCAGAGCAGCGCAGCCAAGCACATGGCAGCTGGGCAGCAGATGATGCTGTGGGGCGTAGACAGAGGGCATGGCCAACATGGCGCTGCAGGGCCACCTGGGCGATCTGCAGCGGGCCGTGGATGGCCCTGAGGGTGGGCGGAACAGGGCGGGGGCGGGTGGGCAGAGGTGAGCCGGTTTTTGGGCACTTGGTCTCTAAAAGGTTCGCCATCACTATTCTAAGGCAATATCTTTGCAAAGGTTGCTTGACAATATGAACTGCACTGCATGTATTAAGGCTCTAGATCTGCCTACGTTTTTGCTTTCAACTCTATCAAAAGCTTTAACTTTGATATGAAACTGATTACTATGCCCACGTTTGAAGAGTGCAACCCTATGCAGACTTATCAGGCAGTAAACACATTGGATATAGTGGGACTTAATTTGGAATAAATTTACAGTACATCGGATGCAAAGTGTCACAGAGTAATGATATAAATAATAATAAATATTAATAAATAAATGAAGCATGACATTTATTTTATAGCAGAGCCTACCTGGCAATCTGGGGCTCAGCCTTCAGACCCCCTTGAAATGTTAACATCAAATTGAATGTCTTAATATAATAGAAAGAGAAAATAATTAAACCCATGATCAGACAGTAAATAATTTTCTGCATCCCTGACTTGAAGAGACTCAAAAGGGAATTGAAATTTGGAGAGTGTGGCAAGCAATTATTGTTCTTTTTTTAAAAAAACTCTCTTTTTTAATATTTATATTAAATATTATATTTATAATTTTATAAATTATAAGTGCAATAATTTGGTCCTGTTGGTTCCTTGAGGGATAGTTAGTATTGATAGTTCTCAACTTACAACCATTCATTTAGAGATGATCAAAGTTATAACAATACTGAAAAAAATGACATATGACCATTTTCACACTTACGACCATTGCAGCATCCCCATGGTCAGGGGTAGGCAACCTTGGCTCTTTTATGACTCATGGACCTATCCCTGACCATGGTCACATGAACAAATTTTGAGTGCTTGGCAAATGATTCATATTTATGATGGTTGCAATGTCCCAGGGACCTTTTGTGACCTTCTGACAAGCAAAGTCCATGGAGAAGCCAGATTCACTTAACAACTGTGTTAGTAACTTAATAGCTGCAGCGATTCACTTAGGAACGTTGGCAAGAAAGGTCATAAAATGGGGCAAAACTCACTTAACATCTGTATTGCTTAGCAATGGAATTGTTGGGATCAATTGTGGTCATAAGTCAAAAGACTACTTGTAACTGGCAGCAATACCAATAGAAATTGCCTTGTTACCATTGTCAGTTCAGTGAAAGATTTTGTCACTAGTGATTTTTGTCACTGGTCTTCAGTTCTCCTATGATCTGGAGCATCCCTGGTTTTTTTTCCACTTTTTTAAAAGGCCAGTGGGAAGCATGTGTGGGCCCAGGGGACATTCCTCCCATTAGCTTTCTTCATTCCAAAATTGGGACTTATACAGGCAGCCGAGGAGGCCTCAGAGTGATCAACCCACCATCAATAGCTCATTCAAACAAAATAAGCTCCAAGGCTTATAGAAATTTGTAAGAAACAGGTGTGTATAAATAATCAGTTTGGAGATTCAATATGAAAGCATCTCAATAGAATATCCTAACTCAGGGATGGGCAACTATGGCTCCTTTGCGACTTCAATTCCCAAAATTCCTAAGCCAACCATTCCATGCTGGCTCAGGATTTTTGAGAGCCCGCAAGTCATAAAGGAATCACAGCTGCCCACCCCTGTCCTAACAGAATCAGGTTTTTACATGGCATTGATCTATTGATTTATATGGCTGAACTGATCCCAGTATAAATAAATATTCGATCCACTCTTATGGCTCCTGAATAATTCTACCTGATTCTAGTCTGAACTGAAACCGTTCAATTCAAGATTACCATTCAGGATTTTATCAGCTTGCAAACTTAATTCAATCAATGTTTAAAATGAAAGCACCTTTTTTTTTGCATATTTCTCTCAATTACTCTGAGAATGCAGTCAAATTCCTCTTTCATAGGGCAAGAAAACTCTTGAGAAGTTCCAAGACAGATTTCAGCAAAATATTAACCAGGTGTTTCCTAGGCTTTTGCAAAATGAAACATTTATTATATCAGTAGTATTACTATCTTTAAGTCTGTGAAAGCATTATTAAACATCTTTTAAAACCCAGAACGCTAGTCCAAAAGGATCAGAGAGTAGAAACAGAGAGGATTTTCATTTTTACATAGCGACAGCTGGAATGTGTATTAGAATTTTCATTCTTGCTCACAATGGGTGTTCTATGATGGGCTAGGTTAAGAGAATTTTTAGCATCTGACAAGTAGAATTCTGTGAGAGAGATTTGAATGGCAGAAAATGGCAGTTACAGAGGTACAAAACTGATACTCTTTTAAAGCATATATGTACATGAGAAACTGTACTGTGTTAAAATGTACATGCTGCATCTATCTCAGATAGCTGGCTAGTCCCAATTTCTCAGTAAGGAGGGAGGTAAAGGAGTCCCTGCGGGTTTTATACTGCTAGTCATAACCAATTTTAGGGATGGTGTTCATCTCCATTTCTTTAAGCCATTGAGCCAGGGCTATTTGACGACATTTCCACGGTCATGTGGCCAGCATGACACCACACCGCAGCACAAAACATATGGTGAAACACGTAATGCTGTTATCCTCCCACTAAAGTGGTACCTAGTTAACTACTTGCATTAGCATGCTTTTGAACTGCTAGGTTGGCAGGAGCTGAGACAAGCAACAGGAGCTCACACCATCACACGCTGCTAGGACTCAAACTGCTGGAGCATAGATCGTCTCTGGTGACTTTTAAACCACTAAGCTACCCCATCTGACATAGGAGGGAGAGGGAAGAAAGAATCATTAAGGGTAACTTCCCGTTCAAGTTTGCCCTCAGCACAGTGGCAGTCAATTCAATCCTTATTTCCAGATTGGAGCAAGCACACACAGGTCACTCAGTTCAGCCAACAAAAAATTATTTATTAAAGCTCAACAAACATCAAAAACAGCTAACTGGCAAAATAGGACTGAAGGCAGGTAAACACAGGAAGAAAGAGAGACATGGAAAAACAGGCAAAAGATAAAA